CTTAACCGGGGGCTGGATTTGAGCTCATTAGCACCTGCTTGGACGGGGAACATTCCCCTAAAATTTCGGCTTTCTAGCATCTCAGAACCCCGAGTTATGAATTTGCGCGGGAAAAATTTTGGGGGGCCCGTACGTGCCACGGGGGCTGGGTTTGAGCCCATTAGCATTTGCCTGGACGGGGAACATTCCCCTAAAATTTCAGCTTGCTAGCATCTCTGAATCCCGAGTTATGAATTTGCGCGGGAAAAATTTTGGGGGGCTCGTACGCGGCTACCACGCTTACCCGGGGTCTGGATTTGAGCCCATTAGCACCTGCTTGGACGGGGAACATTCCCCTGCACGCTTACCCGGGGGCTGGGTTTGAGCCCATTAGCATCTGCTTGGACGGGGAACATTCCCCTAAACCATGCTTACCCGGGGGCTGGATTTAAGTTCATTAGCACCTGCTTGGACGGGGAACATTCCCCTAAAATTTTGGGGGGCCCGTACGCGGGTACCACACTTACCCGGGGGCTGGATTTGAGCTCATTAGCACCTGCCTGGGCGGGGAACATTCCCCTAAAATTTACCACGCTTAAAGGGTCTGGATTTGAGCCCATTAGCACCTGCTTGGACGGGGAACATTCCCAAAAATTTTGGGTGGCTCTTACCCGGGGTCTGGATTTGAGCCCATTAGCACCTGCTTGGACGGGGAACATTCCCCTAAAACCATGCTTACCCGGGGGCTGGATTTAAGTTCATTAGCACCTGCTTGGACGGGGAACATTCCCCTAAAATCCAGCTTTCTAGCATCTCAGAACCCCGAGTTTTAACACCTGCTTGGACGGGGAACATTCCCCTAAAATTTCAGCTTTCTAGCATCTCAGAACCCCGAGTTAGAATCTGCTTGGACGGGGAACATTCCCCTAAAATTTCAGCTTTCTAGCATCTCAGAACCCCGAGTTATTCTGCTTGGACGGGGAACATTCCCCTAAAATTTCAGCTTTCTAAGCTGGATTTGAGTCCATTAGCATCTGCTTGGACGGGGAACATTCCCCTAAAATTTCAGCTTTCTAGAACCTCAGAACCCCGAGTTATGGATTTGCGCGGGAAAAATTTTGGGTTTGAGCCCATTAGCATATCTGGGCGGGGAACGTTCCCCTAAAATTTTTGGGGGGCCCGTACGCGGGTACCACACTTACCCGGGGGCTGGATTTGAGCTCATTAGCACCTGCCTGGGCGGGGAACATTCCCCTAAAATTTGAGCTTTCTAGCAGCGGGTACCACGCTCACCCGGGGGCTGGGTTTGAGCCCATTAGCATTTGCCTGGACGGGGAACATTCCCCTAAAATTTCAGGTTCTAGCACCTCAGAACCCCGAGTTATGAATTTGCGCGGGAAAAATTTTGGGGGGCCCATACACGGCCACGCTTACCCGGGGGCTGGATTTGAGCTCATTAGCACCTGCCTGGGCGGGGAACATTCCCCTAAGCACGCTTACCCGGGGGCTGGGTTTGAGCCCATTAGCATCTGCTTGGACGGGGAACATTCCCCTAAAGTTTCAGCTTTCCAGCACCTCAGAACCCCGAGTTATGAATTTGCGCGGGAAATTTTAGCTTTCTAGCATCTCAGAACCCCGAGTTATGAATTTGCGCGGGAAAAATTTTGGGGGGACTACCCGTACGCGGGTACCACGCTTACCCGGGGGCTGGATTTGAGCTCATTAGCACCTGCCTGGGCGGGGACATTCCCTTTCTAGCGTCTCGACCCCGAGTTATGAATTTGCGCGGGAAGAATCTTGGGGGGCCCGCACACGGGTACCACGCTTACCCGGGGGCTGGATTTGAGCCCATTAGCATCTGCTTGGGGGCCCGTACACGGGTACCACGCTTACCCGGGGGCTGGATTTGAGCCCATTAGCATCTGCTTGGGCGGGGAACATTCCCCTAAAATTTCAGCTTTCAGGGGCTGGATTTGAGCCCATTAGCATATGCTTGGACGGGGAACATTCCCCTAAAATTTCAGCTTTCCAGCACCTCAGAACCCCGAGTTATGGATTTGCGCGGGAAAAATTTTGGGGGGTCCGTACGCGGGTACGGGGGGCTGGATTTGA